AATTTATTTCGACACGTGATATTTCAGTTTATAAAATTTTATCTCAAATTTTATGGTAAGGATTTTTAAAATTAGGGCCAAGTTATTATTTACGGGATATTCTGCTGAACGTCATAAGAATAATCCAATAAGTATTGGTGCAGAAATGTTGAAAAAAGCTGCGGATGCAGCAAATCTTGATGCAATGAGTTATTATGGAAGACTGTTGATAAAAGGTGGATACACTGTGAAAAAGGATGTTAATGCTGGTAGAGAATTACTTAATAGAGTCAATGAAATTAAGATTTCGGCACGTTTAAACAGTCGCAATAATTTATCGTCTGTTTCTATGGAAAAGGCGAATAGTAATACGTCCACTTTGGGAAATCCCGTAATTACTAGTAGCAAGATCAAAACTAGGACGTTAAGTGCACCTTCTAAACCTATGAATATTTCGTTACGAAGATCAAATTTATCTCTTACGATTGATACCGAAAAATTGAGGCCAATTACATATTATTGAACAATGTAAAAAATAGTACAATATGGGGGTTTATACAGTATATAGGACAGGGCACGTTTGCAACGGTACTTTATTGTATACCGATGCGGTAACCTTATAAATGTATCTGGTTTTTTTGTACATTAAAAAATCGGTCTGTTATCCAATAAAGTGGTTTTGTATTTATTAAACTACCTTTAACATTGCATGAACATGCGTGAAACATGCGTGAAATACGTGTTGTAACAAATTATATGGATTTTGAACTTCTCAAAATGTTACCTCGAAACTTTTTTAAACGAATGTAATTTTAAACAAGCAGTTAAAGGGTTACAAGGTTATCTATATAATATATCTTTTAAGTTTATAAATGTTCTTCAATTCGATCAACTCAACTCTGCTGTGATACTGTATCTAAGTTTACCAACTAGGTTAATACACAGCATTTTGTATGAGTAGGACAGACGGCTTGAAGTGAAAGTAAATTTAAGAAGTTATTACAGGTTTGATATAGAATTTGGAACCAGTTGTATTTTTCGTATGATAACCCAAATTTATTAGATTATATAGATTCATACCCTAACTCTAAAATATTAAGAAATTTCAAATTCACATCCACATAAAATTAATACGTATTCGTTGACCATTATTATATCGGACATGATAGTGCCCAGACTCATTAATAAACTATTTATTGTCAGTACACAGTAAAAAGGGGCTTCGATGCATTCTGACCAAAATTGAGATTTTAGTTGGTTATATCTTTAAGTGCGTTTATGATAAAAATTTAATACGCATTAACATATTATAATTTGACACAATTTTATACGCAGTTAAAAGTTAATTTCAAGATCAAATTCATATCAATTTCATATCAAATTCATATCAAATTCATATCAAATTCATATCAAAATGATCAAACTTTGTTATTTATATACGAATCGTCTTTAAGTTCCTTTTGGCTGTGCACTGACCCATATGTCAGGGGCACAGAAAATTTCTAAATTTTGGAATTTAAAGTGACACCTCTCTAAGCGCAACTTCTCTAAGTGCACATCTACATCTGCGGTATAAAGCTAATGCGTAGTTGCATCAATCCGGTCCAGAACCGGCCTGTGACAGGTTCTAAAGGAACTGAAGCCAGACCGAACTGGACCGTGAATACCATTGAAATCAATCCTCTTAAGGACAGGGCCCCACCCTTTTGTTTTTTTGTTGATCCGAGTTCGGGCCCGTAAATAATGGACTAGGAAAATCTCTGCGATTTTTCTAGGCAATAACCCAAATGTTTTTCATCTCAGTTTATTACAAATCACAGCTTGTTATTATATATCACTAGATCAATGCCATTTTGCAAAATGGCATAGATAATTGGTGTGCAGTGTAATGTATTAAGTAAAAGTATTCAGCACCTAAAAACTTGACCCTAATTTTAAAAATCCTTACCATAAAATTTGAGATAAAATTTTATAAACTGAAATATCACGTGTCGAAATAAATT